AAAGGGTTGCCAAGCATTGGAACAGGCTGCCCAGGGAAGTGGTTGGAGTCACCATCTCTGGAGGTATTTTTAAAAGACGTAGATGTGGTGCTTAGGGACATGGTTTAGTGGTGGACTTGGTAGTGTTAGGTTAACAGTTGGACTTGATGATCTTAAGGGTCTTTTCCAACCTAAATGATTCTATGATTCTATGGTTTGCAAGTTGACTGTAAAAAGGGAAATTAAAGACTTAAATACACAGAGGTACACACCTGCGCAACTGTCAGTACCTGCTGTCAGGCATAGGAAGAAGCTAGCTCCCAACTGCTGTTAGTACTGGCAAGCAGGCATAATCAGTTCCCTTGCAGCGCAGCTCCAAGAAAACAAGGCTGTAGCTCTGCACTCTACACACCCTCTCCCAAAACAGTTAAAACAGTCCTTCAGAGAGGCTGGGAAACAGTGTAGCAGCAAATTTTGGGGAGGAATCTTTGCTAGACCATACTGAGTATCAGCATTATGTCATATAGAAATTTGGTACTTGACATCAGCTGTAGTCTACAGAGAAGTTAATGGCCTAGTCACTATTAGAAAGCCCAAAGCATTATAGCCCCAAAACTCAACTGGTAATTTTGAGAAATCACCATACTGAAAGTATTAGAATATTTTAAATCATGTGGGTTGGATACATTCTTAAACATATTCTCAGAACTTGACATTCAACGTACGTAAGACCCTTGTAAGCAATGGAATCCCCAAATGCATTGTAAATTGCAAGGCAATTATATGTCTGTGGTTAAAAGATGTCTAATTAAGAGGACTGAGCTCAGAGCTTCACACATTGCATCCAAACAAAAGCCATGATTAAAGAGGTCTTAACTGTATTGTTTTGTATTTGCTAATACTAGCGCAGATTTCATGTTAAATTGCTTGGTGTGTTCATGACATCTCACAGACAAGGTACAATCATCTACATATGCTTCCAAAACCATCAGCCTGGGGCCAGAAGTAGAACATGGATCTCCAAGAACCTCAGCTTTTCCACAAACACAAATAGCATAAATAGTAGTTTTGTTGATTCCTCAACTTGACCAAGAAAGAACAATTCCCTGTGTTGCTACTGTGACCCTTTTGCTGAGACTAACAGTAAATACATAGATTTTAAGATGTTTGGGCAACATGGAATTTGATGAACAGAGACCATAAAAATCATTGCAAAGAGAGAGGTGGTATTTAAAGCTACCTTACAGTAAAACCTTTCAGTCAGTATTAGTAAAAACTGTATTATTAGAGAGAAAGCAAAAACATTCCTTTTTTCTATTTCATACTAAGAGACTTTAGGCAACTAGTACCTCTCTGTGAAATGCTCTGTTCTATCAAGAGAAGCTGCACCACATCTAATTGTGGTTGACATCAACACCACGAAGTTGTAACTTCTGTCCCCATTCTGTGATCTAACCATAAATTTGGCTGAGTTCTGGCCATTTAAGAGCTCAATTCTCTACTACGCTCAGCTACCAAACCAAGCCTGCTGTAATTCTGGAAACAAGAGCCTTTTTGTTAGTAAAAGCATCCAAATTGAGACAGAAAACACTGGGAAGCAACCAAAGTCAACTACAAGAGTTCCTGTAGGGAACACTTTTATTAACTAGAGCACAATCCTTACTCAAGAAGACCTCTGAAGAGCCTCGCACAAGTCAAGGTACTGCACACACATGCAAGTACTCTGACAGATCAAGGCACTTAGCATGTTAAGATCTTACTAGACATTTTTAGTTACCACCTGGAATCATATTTTGGACTACTTTTTTTTCATATGTTAAAATCTGCCCAGGAAGATAAAAGCAGCAACATTGTCCTCATTCTGCCTTTTCAGAAAGCTTATTATTTCAACTCTGCAAAAAGGCAGTTTATATTGCATAAGGATGTTCGATATATTAACAGAAAAGCAGCAGTATATTTTAGGCAATACTGGTAATATAGATTATGCTTCAGAATATAATGCAATAAATACAGAGCTAAATTTAAGTATTATTCCTAATAATAATAATGGCTAGAGAACTTACAGACTTGTAACAAGTTTCAATCAAAAGCAGAAAACATAACTAAGAGGAGGGAAAATAACACTTTTTGTTCCAAAACTGAACAGGTTCTTCTTTTTGTTTTCCTACACAAAATGAACTTAAGCAGGAATTTTAACATCAACTGATTCACTCATCTGATAAATGGTACCTTAAAGAAAACATGACAAAGACAGCCCAAAGCCTAAAAACCAACAAACATTTAAGACTCTAGGAATTTTAGAAACTTCAAAGGATTTCTAAAGATAAAAGATGTTAAGTAGGAAGATTCATAACTGTCGCTAAGAGCACATTCCTATAGATTTCAATAAAATAATTTCTTAAACATGGCTATTCCTGACCTAAGGTTCAAGACGGGCTCCATATCTTTGGAAGTCTTTTGAACAAGGATTTCTCTATTTGAGCAGAAGGTCTCAGGGCCCAGTTCTGCAATTGCATCCTCACAGGCAGATTCTCATGCTTGCACGGAAGCACGCTTATTTCAATGTGGCTATAAACAGGCCCAGGTTTTGCCAGGGCAAGCGGGGCTGCAGAAAGGCGGCCTTCAGATGCAGCAACAAATGGAACACTTAGGCCATTGCAACATCACAGAAATGCACTTTAAAACGTTATCTCAAAACATCAAAACCATGATCCTGAGAGAAAGCGAAGACTAAACATACCACAGCATACCTTGCATCTGTACTTGAATGAAAAAAAGGCTGTAAGTCCAAGTCTTTTATTTATTCAAATAACAGATAACCTGCACTTGCATATGAGGTTAAGCAAAATCCCTTAGTCTTATTTTTAGTCCCAATGCTGCAAAGACAAACAATCTTATTTTCACAAAATACGGCAATATCATTCTTGCTTCAGTGGAAATACTCAATAAATAAAATAAAGCAGTAGAGCTCCTCACAGAGCAGCCTTTTAGCAGTTATAAGCTATCCAAGTTTCAATATGATATTACAATAAATTTGTACCTCCTAAGGATTTACCATACTGTGACAACACAGTACATGCAACTCTGTAGGACCAGGCCCTACATACAAATTCATTCACTCATCATAAAAATATTGAAACATCAAAATAACTCCCACTAAGTAAATTCCGGGTTGCTTTCTGTAGATAATTTAGCTTTACAATTAGTAAAACCTGTCTGATGTATGTATATACTACAAAAAAAATCACATAAAAGGCTGAAGATGGCTGCGAAAATGTCACCAGGTTGTAAGTAACAGCTTCATACAAAACACAAGCGCTCCGGTTTATCAATCAGCAGCGGTACCTGGTGGGTACGGCCTTAGCATGAAACACTGCCAGTACAGGCGTGCTCATAGGAGAGGGCACTTGACTACAGGGGAACGATGAGTTGCCCTAAATTTGCCAATTTTCTTAAGTCTACCAATCCTCAAAAATTGAGAACAGTCTTAAAATAAACCTTCATCGTATGTTGTTAAGTAACAAAGTTAGAACTCTAGATCTATCTATTTTAATCAGATGGCATAATATAAGGCTTTAAGGTAAGCATTACTGTAATTTCCAAAATTCATTTGAGGTTACCTGTACAAAGCCATTAGCATTTTGAGCTAAAAGACATATTAAGGAACATTTGACCAAAACTAGACACCTCCCACATTAGAAACCGGAGCTATTTCACCTGTGCGGGGTGAAGCACGTTGGTGGGCTTTCCAGTGGACTCACTTCACAACTACCAGACGTTCTTTTCCCTGAAAAAAAGGATCCTTTCATTTTCAGTTCTGGGAGGCAGCAGCACCTCACAGGGACCCCCTGCCCCAGCGGGACCCCGGCAGGGCCATGAGAGGGGGCCAGGGCCCAAATCCAGACACGGCCCTTGCTGTGTAGGGGCCACCGAGGTGATCCCTTCCCCTGGCTGCAGGGCCAGCGGGCTGTTGCCCCGGTCTCGCTGACGCCAACCCGTCCTGGGACAGTAGGGGTGGCTAAGGGACCCCGGCCCGGATCCCGACGGGGCTGAGGTGGCTGCCAGCCCCCGCACGTGGCGGGGCACTAAGGCGAGGCCGAGGAAGCCCCTCGCTCCTGTCCCTCGCTTCAGGCTTCGGGGGCCGGTCTGGGGCGCCCATGTGCCGGCAGC